AAGATGCCTAATCTTCTTTTATTCAAGAAATGAGGACTCTTAAGAAATATCATCTCTTCCTTCATTCAAGAAACGAAGACTCCAAGATGTCGCATCTTCCTTTATACAAAGAATGAAGACTCGTAAAAATGCCATTTCTTTCTATATGTAAGAAACGAAGACTCCAAGATTTTATAGCTTCTTTTATTCAAGGAACGAGGACTTCAAGAAATATGTCGCCTCTTCCTTTATTCAAGGAATGAGAACTCCAAGATATTGCATCTTCCTTTATTCAAGGAACGAGGGTTTCAAGATTTCACCTTTTCCTTTATTCAAGGAATGAGGACATAAAATTTTGTCTTATATAATAAGCAATCAATGAGTTAAGGCTCGCCTTTGATGATAAGAAAACCATGAGCTAGCCTAGATGAGTTTGGACTTATGAGCTCGCCTTAGATTAATGAGAAATTCACAAACTAGAATCAACATTTGATATTTGTCCAAGTAAGATTCCCTTGTGTTTGCTTCAGCAATTTCTTCACAAGAGTCACTGAACTAGCAACAATAATATGACCACCCACTACATGATCCAACATCAAGCAATCTTTAATTTTGAGCAAAACATTTCATCAAACAGTTTGCTTGCACTCTTACCAACCTTATTTCTCTTGCATGAGTGAGTTTTGTAGCCCATCGACAACTTGACATTAGCTCCTCATAATATTGGAATCAGCAAAGAGTAGTGAATGGAAATTGAAAATTGATAAATGCAGTCCCAAGTCACTTTGAGTGGGAATTATTAAAAGAGGTTGTAGCATCCATAAATTCCCAAATCTTTCCAAAATTTATTCAATTTCAAAATAGTTGGCAGTACCTTGCAACCATTTTGGACTGAAGATAAGTAAATTAAGAATTATACAATCTTCGTTTCTTGCCTGTGTAGTCAATATTGTATTTTCCAAAATGGACTTCTATTTTTGGGTAGCATCTTCACAAATTGTCAAGGCCAGGCCATCAAATTTATGATGCCATTTTAAAATAAATGATTGTTGGCAACATCAACTTAAGTTGCTGGAGGAGAGTCCATCTTGCATAGAAATGGCAGGCCTCATAAATCTTCTCAATCTCTGCCTTCCATTGTCTTTAGGGAAATTAAAAAAAATCAGGTGTTTAAAGATCGATTTTTAAAAATCAGGTCTACAATTTATTTATTCAAAAATCAAATATTTTATTTTAAATATTAAACACTTAATCTCTTCACACCCTACG